TCGAGCACCGCGCGCCCGAGCGCCCGCATGTGCCCTGGGGCTGGGGCCACTCGAGCGCTGTGCACCCAGCGCTGGCGCCTCCCATGCGCCAGGGGCAGGGCCGGCCCAGGTTGTCAGCGGGCGCCCACGAATGCCCCAGCGGGCGCCATGGCGCCCGCGGGCACCGCGTTGGGGACCACTGGGTTAATGGAATAGTTGATTAACCTCATGCATTCTTATTGGTTACGTGATTATTCTATAGTCCACAAGGGTGGAGCCAGCAGCCAGTGTGCTCTGGTCTCACTCCTGAGGGGTCCCCTGCCATTCTGCACTGCTTGCCTTTATCAGAGGCAGCTGTTTGGGGTGCTAGGTGGGAGATGGTCTGGGAGTTGAGCCAGTTTAAAAACCAGCTCCCATCCCAGACTGGCTGCCTGTCCCCCACACTGCTGCCTCTGATACAGAGGCAGCAGCATGGGGTGACAGCAGCCCCTGTCCAGGGGAGCTCTGAGCTCTTGGACCTGGCACGAGTCAGAACTGAGCAGGGCTGCCTGGCTTCTAATACAATTTAAATGCAGAGCTGCATTTGAGGTAGGTGCCAGACCTGGCACAAGCCAGGACTGAGCAGTGCTGCCTGCCTGCTAATTCCTAATACACTTTAAATGGAGAACCGCAGTGGGATAGGTCCTGTACCTAACACAAGCTGAAACTGAGTTAGGCTGCAGCTTCCAGCCTGCTAAAAAATTGACTGGTGGGGGAATGTGTGTAGTATACAGCATTAACCTATAAGCTTTTACTAATCAATTAATCAACTGCATTATTACATCCTCATCCCTAGTCTGACATAGAACACAATATCTGGGAGACTCATGGGAAGAGAGGCAAATGAGACAAGGGTTACAGAAATACAATTGCATGGCTACTCAGTACAGGTTCCATTAAATAACCACAATAGACTGGTGAATTAACTCATTAAATGGTGACACAGCAGAAATTAATTTTGAGGAGCAATTCAGGATTGTGGCTTACCAGTCATTAAGAGTTAGTCTACATTTATTCAAATCGCTGCTGTGATGCTGAGTGAAGATGCTGCCTACATTGACAGGAGAGTTTCTCCCATCTGTGTAGGTACTCTACCTCCCAGAGAGCTGGCAGTAGCTGTGTCCATAGGCTTTGCTGCAGGCTCTGTAGCTGGCTCCCTGGAGTGGGGCTGGCAGCCCCTGCCTGCCCACTCCTGGGGAGCCAGCATGTAACTGGCTAGGGAAGGGAGAGGCAGATATTTTTCTTCAACATTTGTTTTAATAGGGGTAAAAGTCAGACTTATGACACAGCAGGATCACTCTCTTCCTTATTTCCTATTACTGCCTTTCTTCAACCTTTTGGTACCTCTCACTTTTAGTACAAAATTGAAAAATTATTTGTGACATGGGATGAGGAGGGTGTGACTATGCTACTACTGGAGGAGGAACATAGAACCTGCCACCTACACCTTTTCAAGGGGCCTGCTGAAACACAGCTACTTATGAGAGAAGATTCAGCACATTGGACTCAGAGACAAAGTTCAAGCAGAAGTAGCTCTCCTCATGGGTGATATATACAAGTTCATTCCCCAGAGTCTCCTCAGGATCCAAAAATGCTTGTAGGAGACATTTATCTCTCCTGACAAGCTAAAGGGTACATCTAGACTACATGCCTCTGTTGTCAGAGGCATGTAGATTAGGCTACCAGACATAGTAAAATGAAGCGGAGATTTAAATAATCGCCGCATCATTTAAACTTACATGGCTGCCGCGCTGAGCCGACAAACAGCTGATCAGCTGTTTGTCGGCTCAGCGCGGCAGCCATGTAAGTTTAAATGATGCGGCGATTATTTAAATCTCCGCTTCATTTTACTATGTCTGGTAGCCTAATCTACATGCCTCTGACAACAGAGGCATGTAGTCTAGATGTACCCTTTAGCTTGTCAGGAGAGATAAATGTCTCCTACAAGCATTTTTGGATCCTGAGGAGACTCTGGGGAATGAACTTGTATATATCACCCATGAGGAGAGCTACTTCTGCTTGAACTTTGTCTCTGAGTCCAATGTGCTGAATCTTCTCTCATAAGTAGCTGTGTTTCAGCAGGCCCCTTGAAAAGGTGTAGGTGGCAGGTTCTATGTACTCCAATCTCTTCCAAGAGGATTGGAATGGGAAGCTCTTGTCTCTTGGAAGGAGCATGGCTGTTTTTATCTTGATAACTCTACTGATAGCCACTGAAGCAAATAAGTATGTAGACAAGGGCAAGGAACAAATGTTCTTATCTCTGACTCGTAAGTTATAAGGGCAGAGAGAAAATGTTTTCTTCAATGAGCAAGAAATCTTTTAGTCTTCTGACTGTTGATGGCTTAAGTAGGGGCAAGTGGCAGCCTGTTTGGAGGACTTTCTGTAGGGCAAGAAAGACTAATTGGTTGACATTGTGAAAGTGTCTGCAGGTGGAAAGAGATTAGTGAACTAAGGCCCGGGTTTTCAAATACATGTACCTAAAATAAAGGTCTGTGTATACTGCCAAGTTTTGGTGACAAAACGTATGCCGATACCCAAATGTCGACAAAACAAAATTTGTCAGAAGGTGTTTGTACTTGCTCCCTTTGACAGATTATGTTCGCTCTAGGGGCACCATCATCAATTCTGTGAACAATGGACTGTGGGTATGCGGTTTGCCTGCCACTGTTCCTAGTGCAGGGCACAACTTTAGCAGTCTAATGACTTGCTTTTTGTTAAGTATCAGAGGGGTAGCCGTGTTAGTCTGAATCTGCAAAAGCAGTGAGGAGTCCTGTGGCACCTTATAGACTAACTGAAGTGTAGGAGCATAAGCTTATGTGGGCAAAGACCCACTTCATGTCATGCATCTGACGAAGTGGGTCTTTGCCCACGTAAGCTTATGCTCCTACACTTCAGTTAGTCTATAAGGTGCCACAGGACTCCTCGCCGCTTTTGCTTTTTGTTTTTCCCAAATGGAGCAACACACTCAGCTGTCAGATCCTTCCCAGAGCTTTGAAAAGGGAGGAAAGCATGCCTGAAGTATAAACCTGTTTACTGATCTAGATGTGCTAAGTGAGGAGCATTAGTAGTACTCAAGGACCTTAATGGCCCAGTACTCAGGACACTGAGGCTATAAGGTTTTTGCACAAGAAGTCTTTTGTGGAAGAGTTCTTGCACAAAAACTTCTTGCGCAGAAGCACGTCTACACCTCAGAGCTCATTGCTTTTGTGCAAGAGAGCATCCATGCTGCAAGGACGCTCTTGCGCAGGAAAGTTCTGCTGGTCATCAGAGCACTTGTGCTTTTTCGGATAGGCTCTATTTGCGCAAGAAACCCTTGCGGAGCATCCACATGTGCCTTTTTGTGCAACAGCTGTAGCGGAAAAAGGAGTTATGCCTCATAAAAGGAGGTTAACCTACACTGGAAAAAGTCCTCTGTTCTGCCGTTTTACTGCTGATTTACTTGTGCAAAAGCACGTTTGAGGTGAGGACGATCCATAGGTTTTTGTGCAAAAACCTTGCAGTGTAGACATAGCCTGATCTGTGAATAGTTTTTCTTTTCCTGTAAGCTGGACAAGGTTGGTCCTGTCAAGACGTGGCCAGGTCTCCTGGTGCTGGAATCCATTTTGGATGCTGTACTTTTCCATGAGCGTGTGAAAAGTTGAAACTGAACACAAAGGATTCCTGGGGTGGGGTTTGGCAACAGGGATATAAAGGTGGGAGACCAAATAATAGGAGTGGCTGCCACATGCTAGGACACCCTTGTTTACCATCTGAGATGTCTGCTGCAAACACTTAAAACTGCACAAAGAAAAGGATCAGGCCAAAGCAGGGAGGCTTCTAAGCTTGTGAGAAAAGATTCTTAGGGTAAGAAATTGCATGTAACAAGTTTCTTAAGAGTACAGTAAACTTGCGATAATCCAGCACCTTTAGGACCCAGGGGGTGCCGGATTATCAGATATGCTGGACTATCAGAAGGGGGGACTATGAGGGGTCTGGAGTGGGGTGGGAGGGGATGTTACCCCAGACCCCTGATAGCTCCCCCTTACGATAGTCTGGCTCTGCCCCAGGCGTCCCTGATTCAGCCGCTGCTGGTCAGTTTCAGCCGC